ACTGGGTCCGTGACGGGTGAGAATGGGTCACCAGCCCCTATGACCTCTAGGGCTGTAGGTTGGGTAACAGTCACATTGGCCTGGGCCGTGCTGTTCCAGGACAGAGTCTGCTGGTCAGTGGGGGACAGGAACAACTGGATGGACTGCTGGATCTTCTGGGGCAGGCCCCAGCGATGGTGAATCAGCTGCCTCTGGAGGTGGAATCCCAGCAGCCTCCGGCCATGCTCCGGGAAGAAGCGGAGTTCTCTGGTCAGGACTGAGCTGGACTTCCCTGGCGAAGAAGTTTTCCCAGTCTCAGGAGACTGGGCTTTGTCACAGAGCTTATACTGCCCGGGGCTCTGAGTGTGCTGAGATCTCTGGAAAACTGCTGGCAAACCCCACTGAAGCTGGAGCTGCCTCTGCTGCAGATGCCACTCCAGGGCTTGACATGGGCCAGTGTCAGAAATGGGACCTTGATCTGAGCTTGTTGGTGGTCAGACGGAGCGACCCAATTTGGGGAAGATGGGGAAGAGGGTGGGGCTGAGTGGGGTGGAATTTTAGGTGGCAGAGGGAAGGAGAGCTCCTTGAAGAGAAAAGGATCCTTCAAATGGGGCTTGGACATGTTCCCATTTATGGAAAGGCCACGAGAGCCAAAGAAGATATCAACCAGGGACTCACTGTGCAGAGAAGGGAGGCCACAGAATAGCTGGCTATATTTCTGCTCTAAAGGGCCCACTGCGTCATGAGCCTGTGGCCCAGGAAGTGGCTAGAGGCCACTGAAGTCTTTAAGGGCTGCGGAGTGCAAGGCTAGAGCCATATAGTCTGGGATTTGCCGGTAGTGATGTCTTTGTTCTGGGTCTACAATGGACCATTCAGAAACCCAGAAGGCCTGAGTGGGCTGGCCAGCCATACATGTACCCCAGGTCTGGTAGGAAATGGTCCCACATTCCTCAACAGAGATCTGAGAAGTATTACTCTGGATGAAAGAAACTGGTTGGTCACTTACAGGTTGGTAAAACAATGGTGGGTTTTTTGCATAAAGTGCCTCAGAGACTCCTCCACTCATCGGGGGAGCCCCCACCTCTGGAAATGCATCCATTTTCTTATATGTACCTCTAGAAACCTCAGGACATGAGGACTGAGGAATGGCAGGTGGGCAGGGAGGACACTGACCATATGCAAGCCCACAGGATGTGTCAGGGTAGTGATTTCTGGGTTCTGGGTCAGCACCTGAGAATTCACTGGTGGCTGACCATTGTTCCCACAGACAAGGCTGGGGTTGCTTTGCATCATCTTCTGCTGGTACCCTGGAACCACAGGCTCCTCAAATCTTGAAGAAGACACTATCTCTGGGCCCTGGGCATCTCTAGCACTTGCAATTCCTGCCCCTGCTGGAGGTGTTCAGCCCAGTAATGGTGGAGGCTGACTGCACCAGCGGACTGGGCAGCGGACTGTGTTAAGGATCTCTGATCCGTTAATTGCAACACTGTGGGGATTTCAGATGGAAGTGAAAGCTCTTTGGATTGTGGAGAAGGATGCTGCAGACTCTGCTCGAAAGACACAGTAGACAGGGACAACATCTCTAGGCAAGAGGAACCCTGCGATGGCCTCGATGAAGTGGAAGATATCAGGCTGTTTTCACCCGCCAGCAGCTGCTGAATCTCCAGAGCCAGGGCATTGCAGATTTGGCAGCAGGTGTCTGCACACAGGAGCCGTCGCACACTTCCCTCCCGAGGAAGCCAGCCCTGGCTGGGAAGGGAAACGTGGCAGCTGTTACTGATGGAGTGACACTTGCCTCTTTGGAAGTGTGTGGCCTGGAGATTGGCACTGCCCTCCCCTATCCCTGGAGGCCCTCGGGCCTACACTGCCTGGGTGTTTACCCATCTACTTTTCTTCCTAGGAAAATGGCTTTTGGTAAGTTGTGGTGTGCTGCCTGAAGTTCTGGGGCTTGTTGGGCAAGGTGTCAGAGAAGCCGTGGGAGCGCAGGGCCATGCGAGACCCAGTGGTGGGGCGAATTCTCTGCTGGCCTGTGTTGAGAAGCTGAAGTAGGATAAGCAGAAGCCAGTGGTAGCTGATGTGGCATCACCAGGGGGAACCTGGAATCAGTTTCATTTGGGGCTAAGAAGCCCACAGCCTGCTATACAGTATTGCCAAACTGTGGAACGTGAGGTGCTTGTGGGAACTCTGCATTCTGGGGACTCTGGGGTGCACACAACATCTCTTGGGAGCTAGCCGCATGCTCTAGAGATCTTAAGAAGAGGATGAGATGACAGGCTCCTGTCTGAGGGTTGTCTCAGGGACTGGCTTCCCTGAAGACAGAACCAGAGGAGGTAATGTCAGCAGGGCCCAGCCAGACTCTGAGGGGTCTGCCCTTGAAAGGGTGTAGCTGTAAAGAGAGTATGACATTGAGGACTTATTTATGCACTTCTTTATCCATTCTTTCAACTCAGTAGCTTGTCTTGTGGCTGAGTGCAAGGCCATGTAGAGTTGTTTATGAATCATGCACTAGTCAATCCTGAATTCCAGGACCAATGTGAGCCAGGCTCGAGCAGAACTGGGAGACTTCTCCCTCCGGAGATGTTTTTTCCCCCAGTGCCCTGGCAACCCTCTCCACCAGTGCACCAGCCTCCGCTGTGTCTTGCTCCCTCCTTGCTATTATCTGTTTCCTCATCCCTGCACCCAGTCAAGCAGAGAACTCATCACAGGCCAGGCTACCAGTAGAGAGACCGCAAAGAGCAAGAGATCACATTTTCATGACAGAGAGCAGTTCCCATGGCTTCTTATCTTCCTCCTGGGAAATTCTCCTGGCTGAGGAAACAGGAGACAGTGTTATATGGAATGGGAGAGGATTCAGGGACATCCTATAGGAAGCTGAAGGCCTCTGAATGAGAGGAGACTGGAAACTCCAAGAGTCAATGCTGTAAGACATGTCTGCATACAACTTAGCCAGTTACGATGTGCTGTCCAGGACCTGGGTCATCAGATCATCACCAGCACACTGTGATTGATGCCGGATCATCAGATGCCCATTTCCTGGATGACAAAACTGAGAGCTGAAGTGACTTCCACAGTGTACTAAAACTAGTAAATGACACAGCTAAGAATTCTGCTCTACTTCCTCATTCTTCCTTCCCATGAGTAAGGTGAAGAATTTTGGAACCCTCCTAGGCTCTGATTTCCCACCCAAGAAAGTCTTCTGGGAGAAGTTGTCGACTTGTGAAGGTGGAGTCTTCAGTGGTGAGAACACTGGCTCATGGTACCAGGGGTCATAGTGGGCCAGAACTATGGGAATTACACACAGAATGGAGGGGTCAGAGCAGAGATTGGGATTACCTCTTGGTCCTGCCTCTCTAGCCCTTTGCCTCGCTGTTTGGTGATGCTTAAAGACAAAAAAGTTAGAGTTTGAAGCTGGCGCTCCATTTTCTTTGTCATGTCCAAAATGAGCCAAAGGAAATATTCATTTCCCAGTCCCTTTCTATATATCTCTCTGTATTTTGCTGACTTTCCTAACTTTCCTTTCCACACTCCATGTTATTTCTCACCTCAGCATTTCTCTGCTTGCTTTTGATTCATTTTGAGGCTCTTCCATACTCTCTACCTCCCAGTTATTTCCCAGGGGAAGTTCTGCCTGACGCTTATGATGAAACAAGAGACAGAGTGGAACAGATTAAAGGGTGTATAGGTCTAAAGCCAAAGGACTTCTGCTTACAATTGCCTTACTAGACTGCCAACTGGAAAAGTCCCCCATATTGAGAGGTCTACTGAGATCCAGTGAGTAGATTCTAGTTCATCTCCGTCTCAGCCCAAGCCTGATAGAGAGGTTCTTGATTTTCCAATTAGAATACACTGCAGGAATGGCCTGGTAAGGAATTATTTCTAGACTCTGAGAAGAGCAATGCCATATAAGAGTAACTGAATTTGTGGTATAAAAATTGAGGGAGGGGATGGGTACAAAGAGAGACTCTGACAAGCTTCTTATCTGGGACTTAATTGGTTCAGTCGTGGTCATAGTGTTTCCCTACCTGGCAGCAGCTCCTTTTCGGTTCCAACCTTAATCCATCATAACTCCTTTTCGCTTGCCAGATAATTAGGGCAATAATGAAGATGGAGCCATAAACAAAAGTAGGGCTCAACATGGTCTAAACCTCATTAGCATGAGGAGATCAACCATCCTTCTCTCTAGGCGGTCAGGGTCCTGGTGCCTGATGACTCCCAGTGGTACGCCTCACAGAAGACAGAACCAGGTGAGCGGACTGCATCACAGAGCCCTTCTGTTTCACAAGCAGGTGTAGTGACAGAGTCTTGACCTGTCTTCAGGAAGCTTATGTGTTGATGCAGTCCGTAGGTGAGGGTGTCTGGTTGTCTGTAAGGGTTGCCGAGCCTCAGCCCAAAGGTGCCCGCTCCCAAGCAGTGTCTGCTCCCACTTTGTCTTCACTCTCCACACCCTACACCAGCCCGGTGGCTCAGCTCTGTCCTTCATGACAACTGTCTGGTCACCCATCCCCAGAAAACAGTGTTTAGGGACACAGGGCACTTTTGAGGACGAGTGGCTGGGACAGAGGAACCTCCACCAGCTGCTGCCCCCATACTGGAAATATGTCCTAGAAGCACACACGAGATGAGGGAGGGCAGAGTCTGGTTATGCTTGGAAATGGAGAGCTTTTTGTTACAGGCAGTGGGCGACAGGCAATCAGAGGTTTGTGAAGGGACCAAGGCTGATGTGGCAGAGAAAGGCCAAGGTGGCAATACCTTGAAATTTACATACGTGGAGGAAGTCTTCTGTGTGGTGAGAAGAGATTGTAAATACTGCCTTCCATGGAGGCGCTAATGAGACTCACTTACTTTAGGAGTTTGTAAGAGTTAGTTTTCTAGAGCTGTTTTACCGTGTTAGAGAATTCTGTCTGCTCGTGGAGATGACTACCTGCAGAGATGGGTTAGTGGCCACTTCTTTTTTGTTTTTTTTTTTTTTTCTGCTTTATCTCTCCAACCCCCGCCCCCCACCTCCACCCCCGCCGCCCACCCCGGACACAGTTGTATATCTTAGTTGCAGGTCCTTCTAGTTGTGGGATGTTAGTGGCCACTTCTGACTTAAGGTAATAAACTAGTTGCTGATCGTGGTTAGATCTACTCATCTGCTCTGGATATATGCTGTTTCCCTGAAGGAGATTTTTTTGTTGTTGTTGTGTTTTTTTTTTAACCTGGATTTTTTGACGTCTTTGAGCAGGGCACTTATTTTCTAATTGCTCCCTGTGTCCCATCACTCCTATACTCTGTGCATTTATTTCCATGTTTATGTTCCCTTCTTGACCTCTGTGGATATTGTCATATTTCTCTAATACTCCAGGATTCTGGCATTTCCTTGAGAGGATCTTGGCCTAGTGATCGTGGTCTGTCACAGCCAAAAATCCTTGGGCTCACCATCTCTGAAGAGGCTATTTGGTCCTCCCTGTAGCATCCAGTCCTCCACCCAGCTGGCATGGTTAGCCCTCAGTCTGTGCTCATCCCTAAGGTGGGCAGTGTCAGGGGTACAAAGACATATGAGTCATGTTGCCTTCTTGCTCTCAAGCCATTTAATCTAGTTTCCAAGATAAGACTAATTCACGTGAAGCAAGAGCCGACAATCTAGAACAAATAGAATTATATACTCACTTGTGAAGCCCAGGTCACACACATCCCATTTCAGAGGAGGGAAGGTATAGTGAGGACCAGGGTGGTCAGACAGGGCTCCTGCGTAGAGTGACGTTGGAGTTGGTTCTAAAGGTGCAGGCTGTGAGGGAAAGGAGGTGTTCCAGGTGGGGGAGAAACTTACCAACAGATGCAGAACCCTGAGGAATGGGGCACGGAGTGTGTCTGGCAGTAAGAAGTGCATCTATCTCTAGCAGAGGTGCAGGTGGGCGAACTCAGGGGACTTGTGGGGAAAGACTGGAGGTGCAGAGGTGCGGCCTGTTGATGAAGAGCCAGTACATTTAATTGATTTCAATTACTGAACGTAATTGGTATTTTAGAAGTAGGCATACATATACATGGTACGAAATTCCAAACAAATAAGAAAGTATGTACTATGTATCTTTCCCACCCTTTTCTCCCCTTTTTCTTGCCTGTGTACCTTTCAGAATTTTCTTTCCATTTATCTTTCAGAATTAATTTAGCATAGGAAGCATAAATAAAGTGACGTTGTTTTCTTCAGAAATGGAAACATATGATAGACACTGTTTTTCCTCTTTCTTGTTTTATTGAATAATTGGAACATATCTTGCGTATATAATTTTCTTTGATGGCTCTACCATGTTGTTTGATAGAAGTGCAACACAACTTTTCTTTAATCCCATATTCGTGGATATTTAGTTATTTAAAGTCTTTTGATGTGAATAATAATGCTGACACAAACCTCATGTATATAAGTCCTTGTGCACGGGTATGAGTGTATGTATATATAGAAGAAATTCCTAAGAGTTGAATTGATGGATGAAAGGGGATCAGTATTTTTAATGTTGATATTGTCTTATTGCCCCACCAATGTAGGAATTTGCACTCTCACCAAAACAGTGTAAGGTTGCTTTCATTCCTTGCTTATTGATTCAATATTATCAAATTTTTTATCTTTGTCAACTGGAGAAGTGATAAATTGTATCTTGTAAGTTTACAAATTTGTTTTAAGGTAGGCTAATCACTTAATTACATAATCACTTTTATATGTTTATTTCCTCTTCTGTTAAATATCTGTTCCTATTGTTTGCCCACAGATTATTGATCTTTTACATATGGATTTTTAAGTGCTTTTTAAATTAAGAAAATTAGCACTCTCTATTTGCATTACAAGAGGCACCCAGGTGATCCTGGGGGTACCTGGGGTACCTCCTAGTGACGCCATGCCCAGTGGTCAAAGTTAATGGAGAACCCCTGTAACCTTCATTAAGCTGGACCACCAGGGGCTGGTATCCCTTGGGTGTGAAGGTTTGGGTCTCTTAACAGGCATAGAATATCAACTGGCTGAAGTGCCAGTTGGAGGTAAAGGGAATAAGTCATAGAGGAAGGGTGGTAAAGAGAATTCTAGATTCCTGTCCCCTGGTCTGCATACCCTGTGTAATCCTTCTTTGAGGGGTTCCCCTTGACCTCTTTACCTGTAAATATGATAGGATATCACACATGTGATTAAGCTATTGCCATATGGCAAAAATGAAGGGATTTTGCAGATGTAATTAAGGTCCCTAATCAATTGACTTTGAGTTAGTCAAAAGGGAGATTATCCTGGGTGGGCCTGACCTAATCAGATAAGTCCTTTAAAAAAGTGTCTGGAGATAAGAGGCAGCAGCAGATGCTCTCATGTTGGCCTTGAAGAAGCAAACTGTCCTGTTGTGGAGAGGGCCATGCAGCAGGGAGTTGCAGGCAGCTCTAGGGACTGAGGACCTCAGTCCTACAACCACAACTGCCAACACCCAGAGGCTGTAGAAGAGGACTCTGAGCCTGAGATGAGGTTGCATCCCCGAGTTCAGCCTGGGGAGACCCCGAGCAGAGGACCCAGCCAATCTGTACCTGGACTGCTGACCCACAGCAACTGAGGTAATAAATTTGGATTTTTTGAAGCCGCTAAATTTGTGGTGAGTTGATACACAGCGATAGATAACTAATACAGGAAGGAAGTAGTAAATGCCAGCTCAGCCCCAGGACCAGTTTCAGACTGTAGCTTTTATGCAGATTTCCTGCCTGGTTGTGAAATGTCTCTCTTTCTTCCACTGACTGCCCTTTTCTTTCATCTTCCTTTGTTCCGTTCTTGAATAGAGGTTCTTGTGGTGATGTTGCTCGTACTCATGAAGACTCTGGTTTACTTCTGGCAGTTGCCCCGTTGATGTTGGGCATGGCTCTGTGACCGACTTCAGCCAATGAAATGTGTGCAGAAGTGGCATGTGTCATCTGTGGACAGAAGCATTTAAGCAAGGATTCCCCTTGCTGTCTTCCGTGGCTGGAATGATCATGGAACATGTGTTGAGATGAAGGAGCATGCCCAAAGATCAAGGCAGCCTGAAATGTTGAGCCACCGTATGGAGCACAGCTGTGCTAGAGACTCGCCTGGACCCACAGCAGGCTTGGTGTGCATGGGGAATAGAATTTTGTTGCCTTAAGCCACTCAGATTTGGGTGGCATTTGTTGTTGCAGCGTAACCCAGCCTATCCTAACCAATCAGGTGTCTTGGTGGTGGTTCTCAGGTGGTAGAATAGGGAGATGAGATTACAGCAAAACTAGGGGAGGAATGGATGTCACTTCCAGATCTTGGATTTAGAATTGGATTTTGTTGGGGGTGGGGGTGGGGTGGCACTGTGGCTGAGTGGTTAAAGTTCCATGCACTCTGCTTCAGTGGCCCAGGTTTGAGGGTTCGGATCCTGGGTGCAGACCTACTCTGCTCATCAGTCATGCCATGCCTCCATGCCAGTGGAGGAAGACTCGCATGGCTGTTAGCTCACTGTGAATCTTCCTCACACACACACACACACACACACACACAGGTAGAACTGGGTTTTGCTGTGGATTGAATTGTGTCCCCCAGAATTCGTACATTGAAGCCCTACTCCCAACATGACTGTATCTGGGATAGGGTCTTTAGGAAGTACTTAAGGTGAAATGAGGTCATCAGGGTGGGGCCCTAATCAGACAGGACTGGCCTCTAAGAAGAGGAAGAGGGAGAGATCTCTCTCTGCCGTGTGATGACACAGTGAGAAGGTGACCCTCTGCAGGCCAGGAAGAGAGCTCTCACCAGAACCTGACCATGCTGGCCCCTTGAACTTGAACTTCTAACTTCCAGAACTGTGCGAAAATAAAGTTCTGTTGTTTCGGCCACCCAGTCTGTGGTATTTTATTATGGCAGCCCAAGTGACAAAGACAGGTGTGGTAATTGCTAAGGCCCTGAGTAGTCTCTCTTTGGGGAGAGGTGAAGTGTTTTGGTTGTATAAGCAAAAGTAATATTATGTTAGGTAACACTCTTAGATTTTTAAGAAGTTTAGGGTTGGGAAGAAGAATGAATGTTGATGTTGGATAGCCATAGGGTGGACTATAGAGGTAGTTATCATGTTTTCACTGCCCACAACCTTAACCCCTTTCTATGTTTGAGGAATTTCCTGCTTTATTAGTCTTGGTCACTGGAAGAGCTTGCCTTCCATCACAGAATCCCCAGAGGTCACATCCTAATTTTCCCAGCCCGCTTTGCAGCTAGGACTTGGGCATATGACCTAGGCTTAGCCAATCAGAAGCACCTTCCAAGGACTGTGACAGGAAGCTGATAGTGATGCCAAGGAGCAGGGTTAGTGGAGCATCCGTTTTGGCGGTGGTAGGAATGGTGGCGGAAGTGATGTCTGTTTTCTAGGGGCAGCTGTGGCCGTGATACCAGAGGTGGAATCTGGCAGGCTGACCACCTAAACTTTGTGGCAACAGTACAAGTGGAGGCCCACTTACCATGTGTCTAAACATTGAAAAGTTATAAATCAAGCTAACAAATAGTCAAATAAACATGTAGCTATCTAACTACCTTGAAAAATCTAATTTCAAAACAATTTGAAAGCCAGGTTCAGATTCAGAATTCTTGGACTCCTTGGAGTTCCATGATGGAATGAGGTGGTAAGGGGACAGCCAAGGTCCAGTACCCTACTTGTCCCCTTCCCCTTCCTGCCCTACCTTCCTTCCATCTTGTGCCAGGATTGGCCTCATGTCCTGCGGGTGGACACTGCCGCCCCATAGATACAAGCTCCTTCCACGTTTCCTGCAAATAGCTACCTCTTGGCCACCCTCTCCACCTAGTAGTGTGCACATCAGTGACATAGTCCATCCCAGGAAGGACAGACCTGAGCAAGAGGCCTGCATGGACTCTGGAAGTTGCATGGGGCCCCTGGGGCAGGGCATTCTCTGGCTTTCAGTTCCTGAAATGTGGTCAAGAAGGAGAAGCATGGGCCCCCAGTGGGTATGTCCTCTCAGCCCCGTGTCCTCTTGCCCTGTGTCTGGAGCTGTGACTGGAGGAGGGCTGGAGGAGGGCCGTCTAAAACATGGAGTGCTGGGCAGGGGCCCCAGGCATCTGGACGTCGGGGTGGCACTGGCATTTGGTATCACCTTTCAGTGGTGCCGCCGTGCTGTCCTGGAGGGCTGTCTGCATGGTCCTGGCTCTACTACATGTCTTGAGGTGGCTGTCCACTTTCCGGGTAGGGCAGTGTGGAAACTGCTGGAGTTAGAGCCACCCACTTGGGCAGGTTGGGACGCAGGGCAGCTCACATCTTCTGCCTCCCCATGGGAGCACAGGGGAGACTCTAAGGTTCTAAGAACAGAAGTGGCTGAGGGGTCTGACTCTCCCAGCTGCTTGGATCCTTAGAGGCTCTGTGTTTGCCCTTGCCCTTGGCCCCAGTCCTGCCTGTCTCTGGCCCCTCAAGAGATTGAAGTGGCCCCTAGAAGCGAGTCCTTCAGGAGTCTGATCCCACCCCATCCGTCCTGAGATGCTCTCCCCTGCAGACGTGGCAGCCAGGCTGGCTCAGAGGCCACCAGAGAGGTCCTAGCTCAGAAGCCTGCCCCCTCCCCCAGAAGCCCCGCCCACAGGACCCCTAGTCCTGCCCCTGCCCTCAGATTCCAGCCCTGTCCCTCCATTCCTCCTTTCCTTTCAATGTCACCAGGTCCTGGCCTCTGATACTCCCCTGGGAATGGAAGTAAGGACGTGGGCATAGCTGTAGCTTGATCCCCTTCTCCACTGCCCACTCTTGGGAAAAGTGAGGCCTGAGCAGACCTCCAGAACCCATGCCCACTTCCTCCGGGAGGCTCAAGCCATGGGGTCCTACCTGAGGCCTCCAGCTTCTCTCTTTTTTTCCCGGCCCTTCCTAGCGAGCCAAGCCTTTCCAACCCAAGTGGACATCCCAGCCCCCAGCCCTCAGCCCTCAACCCTCAACCCAAGTGCTACTGGTCAGGCAGACTTGGGCTGCGACCTCAGCCTTGCCACTCACTAGCTGAGTGGACTTGGGAGGTCAGTCTACCTCTGTGTGCCTCAGTTTCCTCATACATAGAATGAGACTAGTAATCCAGTGCTCCTAGGGTTGTCTGAGGATGCAGTGATGTAATGCACACAACGGGCTCAGCTTGGAGCCTGGCACCTGGCCAGCGGCCCAAAGTAACAGCTTTCCCTATTCCCTGAGGGCCACTTCCTCGGACCTGGCCCTGCCCTTTGGTTCCCCATTTTTACTTAGGAGATGGGTCCACTGAGAGAGGTGTATGCATAGTGGCTAAGACTTCAGATTCTGGAGCCAAACTGCCCAGCTGGGACCCCCGGCTCTGCCACTTTGCCAGCTTGCAGCCCGGCACGTTACTTCACCTCCACACCTCAGTTTCCTCAGCTGTAACCGAAGCATGATGACGGCATGAAAGCCGCGCCCGGCCCCTAGCAGGCGCTGGTGGAGAGTTCGCTAGAACCGCAGAGCCATGTCCGTCCACGTGGAGAAAGTCCCAGGGCCATCGAGGAAGTTCTCTGAGCAGAGAGGGGCCTGCGTCTTCCTGCAGAGGGGCTCGAGGGACACTCCCCACTTGGGAGCCCTGCTCCTTTGTGAGACTGTTATTTCCAAGGGTTTCTGGCTGTTTCTGATTTTCCCGGAGACCAGAGAAGGGGGGCCAGGGGTAGGGGTTTACCGAGAAATCGAACTTGAGATGGTAAAAATATGATCGAAACCGTCTGGGACTGGCTCTGACCAAACCCTTACCCACGCCACAGCGGCAGCCCCGCTGTCTTGAGAACTGGATGTGCTCCAGGTGTGAGCGGTGGGGGCGCATCGTGGGAACCGGCGTGCTCCGTTCCATTTGTTGTTAATCAAATGTGTACTGGGCTTGTTCTGTGCCAGCCCCACAGGCATGTTGGCAGTGGAGATGGACAGGCCCAATCCCTTTCCCTGGGAACTCTATCGATAGACAGGACAGGGAGTTTTTGTCCACTACATAGCGGGACATAAGACTGGGAGCTCCCTGAGCAGGGGTATCAGGTCCCTTTAGGCAGTTGTTGGCTGCTGGGACCACAGGCCTTCAGGGGAGGGAGGTATCACACAGCTGCTGGCCTTAAACCCTGTAGCAAGTGCCATGTGCCCTAGAGAGGAAAGTGTCTACAAAGAAGCAGGCAGGCAGCAAGGTCCCCGTATTGTGGTCGGGGAGCTAGGAGTCCACACCACTCTCAGAGAGCCGGCGGCTTCATTGTTGTCAGGTCAGCAGGTAGGCTGCTGGCCCGCCAGAACTCGGGGTCAAACAAGATCCAACACTTGTCAGGGCATCAGAGTGAAACAGGGAGCAGGTGTTGATGAGATGAAGTCAGAGTGCTGAGAATGTTTGAGTGGGGCGGGACAAGTGGCAGGTTGCTGGGCTAAGCCCATGTATCTGGCAGGGAGATAAGGGGGTATGATGCAGTGCCCAGGAGGGTTGGTGACTGGGGGTGGGCAAAAAAGGGAGGGAGAGGTTTTCAAGTTGGCTGTCTGAAACTCATGATGCATTTTGTTAGAAATGGGGGTGAGGCCCTCAGTAGAGTTTTCAAAGATTTCTTTATCCCAAGCAGTAGATAACCAGAATATTGATAGAAAAAACCTAAGCTGTGGGTCCTGAGAGGGTCTTTCCAGAGAGAAGGAAGTGGGGGAGGAGGTTATAGCATGCCCTCCTTCTTAGTATGGAACTAACTGGAAAAAATGGGGGAAATGCAGCTATATGGTGCATCAAAGACTGATATAAGATAGGTGTTCAATACTTGGTAGTGGTGGTGTTTGTTTTCTTTTTATTGCAGTAACATTGGTTTATAACTTTATATAAATTTTGGGTGTACATTGTTATGTTTCAACTTCTGTGTAGACTCCATCGTGTTCACCACCAAAAGCCTAGTTTCCATCCAGCAGCGTACACATGTCCCCCTTTCTCCTTTCCTCCCTCCCCCACCCCCTTTCCCCTCTGGTAACCACCAATCTGTCCTCTGTATCTATGTGTTTGTTTATCATTGTTGTTTTGTCTTCCACATATGAGTGAAATCATACAGTATTTGGCTTTCCCCATCTGACTTATTTCACAGTGTCAGACAGCCAACTGAAAACTTTTCCAGCCAACCCTATTGTAAATTGGGGATAATCCCTATGAGCTTATATCCAAGATTGTCAGAAAGTGGGAGGAAAGAACCGGGAAACAAATAGACTATTCTCATTTGTACAATTAATAAAAGTAATGTTTGAATTTTTGACTTACGTGCCCAGAATTGAATTTTTTGTCAATGACTAAGAAGGCTGGCATCACATTGAAGGGAAGAGTCCCGTAATTAAAAATATTTTGATATATATGTTAAAAAAAAAGAGGGAGGGAGGAAGGCAGGAGGGAAGGCACTGGCTGGAGAAGGGGTGGCGAGGGCTGCATGCCTGCTCCCCATGGGGCTCTGGGGTTCACCCCTCAGGCTTTATCCAAATTCTTCCTTCTCCAGGCCTCCAGGGTCCAGCACAGGGCTGTTCTAGCTGCTTCACTAGCTCCTGGATTATTTTCTCTCTTTAGGAACCTCAGCTTCCCTTTATTCCTAGAGGGTGGTCCCTGGGGCCCCAGGAAGTAGGGACATTTCTGATGTGCATGACTTTGGGGGGGCCTGTGTGAATGCTGGGGGTTTGCCTGAGACCCAAATATTTAGGAGTGAAGTCTTTGTTTGGAGAGACTCTTAAAAATTAAGCCCCTGCCCCTGCCTGACAGATGGGCAACAGAGGCGTTGGTGGGGAATGAGGAGAGGACTTGCCCAGAGTTGCACAGTGAGGAGCAGAAACAGGATTGTGGGGTTGGGGGCTGGGCATTGAGCTCCTGACTGTTCCTGGACCCCTCTGTGGCAGTGTCAGGGAGGTAGTGTCTGGGGGTCTCTGTCCTGGCAGCCCCTCCCTGCGGGGTCCCACCCTCGCCTCCCCTGCTCCATCTGTGTGTTCCCCAAAGGGCCAGAGGGAGGGGTGGTGACTGCCTCTGTGGCGGGCTGACCTCCACTTGGCTTCACTGGGAACTGAGAAGAATTTGAAGCAATGTGTCCCCCTGACACCTGTGTTTGTCCTCTGCCTGCTGGTGAGCAGGGCACAGGGTCCAAATGGTGTCCACAGCTGGGACCTGTGAACTCCATGGTCGGCTGACTTAATGGATGGATTAATGGATGGATGGGTAGGTGGAGGGGTGGGTGGATGGGTGGGTGGAGGTCTAATGGAGGCAGAGACAGCTGGATGGGTAGATGCACGGATGCATGAATGGATAGGTAATTTCCCCCAGGCAGCAGGGCCAAACTTCCCAGCCAGAGCAGTTGTTCCTGCAAACGATCCCCATCCCACCCACTTGTTGTGACTCCAAGACCTGGGATATGTGAGGTTTTGAACAGCTATTCTGTGAGCAGAGGGGAGGAAGAAGCTGCCATGCTCTCAGCTCAGTGAGGAGGGGCTGGCACAGCCTCTCACCACTGCTCCTGTCGCAGGCTGTCCAGGCCTGCTCAGGCATGCTTTTGTTACCAGATGAGGAATATCTGGTCTAATGATGGCCCCTCTTCCCAGGCAAGGATGCTCAGTCTGGTGTCCTGGCTGCCATTCCAACCCCAGTGGCACAGACTTGCTGTTCCCAGCTGGACAGGCCCTTAGGGGCCATAGCCAGGAGATCAGCCAGCTTCCCCAGGGAACTTCCCAAGCATGAGTAGCCCACTCCTCCCAGAGCAGCCCTGTGGGATGCTCCCAGAGTCACAGGACTTTCATCTCCCAGAGCTGAGACTCCTTCCCTGTGACTCCCCTGGCCTCAGTGTTGACTTGGCCCAGTGGCTCAGGTGGACTGTGGGCTGGGCTGCAGGGTTCCGGCAAGTCGAATCTCCCTGGCTCTGTGGCTGCTCCTTCTTCCACACTCTCGAACCTCTCCCACCCTGACCTCTGACTCCCAGGTCTGTCTGTCAGTATCCCTGAGAAGCATGGCCCCTGGATTGCCCGGATGGGGCTGCTTCTGGTCCAGACTGACTGTGCCAGAAAGGAGGGCTGGCCTGGAGTTCCGATTCTGCAGGGACAGATGGGCCCTCCCTGCTGGCTGTGGCGCCTTTCCTCAAGTATTTATTAATTCTCAAGATAAATAGTCATTGAGTGGCTCCCTTGTGCCAGGGTGACAGTGGAAACCAAAATAGACATGATCCTGTCCAGGAACACCAACAAGCTAGCACTAGTAACTCAGCGCAATGAGTGCTCCAGAAGAGTGGGTAGCGGGCCCTGGGAGCTCGGGAGGGAAGGATGCTACCTAACCCAGCCTGGCATCAGGGAAGACTTCCTGGAGGAAGAGTCATCTAGACACTGATGGGAAGAGTGTTCCAGACAGAGGGAATGGCAAGGGTGGATGGGTCCTTTCCCCCAAGGCAGTAGAGTTGGGCCTCCTGTCCCTCCCCCAACCCTGAGAGCTGGGTTGGGTCATGAAGTTCCCCCTGTGACATGGGATCCCTGAGACACCTGGATGCTTGAATACCTGTCTTGGAGAGCAAAGACTGGGAGGCATGAGAGAGTTTGGCTCGTTCAGGGAACTGACACAGTTCGCTGAACCATGTTGTGTGAGAGGGCTGTGAGGAGACATGAGGTGGGGCCCTGACCGTGGGGGCCGATCCTGAGAACGCAGGGTGTTGGGTGGGTGGAGGGCAATGAAGAGGTTGCTCAGTCTGCAGGGTGGAAAACAGATCCTGCCATTCCATCTCCCGCTTCCTATCTTGGTCCTCCTGGACAGACGGCAAACAGACAGCAGACAGACCGACCCGTGGGTGCCAGTGGCCTTTATTGGAAGCATTGCAGTCTGGGCGAGGAGGAGCTGTGCTCCTGCCCCTCACCTCCTTACTCTCACTCGCACTCACACTGACAACCCAGCTGGTTCAGGTCTGGTGCAGGGGAGCTGGAGGCCTGATAGCTCCTTCTGGTCCTGGCTTCCCCGGGGCCACAGTGATTCACATCCCTTCACTCAGACACAGGGCCTCCTCCGGGACTGTCATGGGCTAACTGCTGTGGCGCTTGCTCTGGAGGAGGAAGGAGAGACAAGGTCATGGGCTGGGGTCTTGGGCAGGGGCTCAAGGGAGGAGGCAGGACTGGGGAGGGTCAGGCTTGCCTTTACAGAGTTCTTCTGCAGTCTCCGGATGATGCGCTCCACCCAGGGCTGGTCTAGGGGGGCACAGAGCTGGCGACCTCTCACTGTGGTGAACCTGGAGTCAGGTCAGAGAGAATGGAGCTGTGGAACCCAGCTTCCTGGCAGGCCCTGGAGTGAGGGGCAAGGCTGGGGACCACATCTGGCAACCTGTTTCAGGGTCTTCATTAGAGGGATTGGGTTGGCAAGGAGAAGAGAGAGAAGATGTGGGTGGGTATCACCAGGGGCTGATGGGGGAGACGAGGTTAGACACAGTCCTCTCCACAACTCACACAATGGCAGGCACTCTGCAGCCATCCTTGAGGAGGAGGTAGCGAAAGGCTCGCACGATGTTCCCAGGGATGGGGCGCTGGTTCACAGTCAGGCAGCAGTCTTCAGCATCGTTGGCACCACCCAGAGCTGGGAAAGAAAGTAGTGTCAGGGCACGGGGACCCTGAGGAGGGGAAGCCAGGCCCCTAGCTGGGATTAAGGACGCCTGTGTGTGTGTGGAGGCAGCTAGATGATATTCAGCCAGCATGCACCTCTAGGGCCCTATTTGTTTCTAAACATATTGAGGTACTTCTAAGCTGTTGGGTAAACAACCTCTTCCCTGAGCCCCACAATGCCTTCCTGCTGCCCTGATCACCCCAACTTCTCTCCCAGGACCTCTCAACTTCTCCACAAAGGAAGAGTTAAGAGTTAATGTTCCCGTTGTTGGTGGGGGGCTGGTGGCGGTGGGGGTGGGGAATGGGGTGGAGGTGGAGTTGCTGGAGGCTGGTGTTAGAGGACTCATGAATTGCTAGATCCCTTGACTATTAGCCCTGCCTCAGTGTCTCCCATTCTCCCCACCTCAAGCAAATATATACTGTTCTCTCCTTCTGCCCGGAAAACTGAGGTAGCAGGAAGTAGAGTCTGCAGAGAGAGGGGCAGCCATACGCCCTGGGATACACCAAGAGACAGACGCACATTGGAATTGAGGGGCCCGGATACACCCACACTCACAGGCACACATACAAGGCACAGGGCACCCCTGGGTTCACTGAAACACGCAGCCCGAACTCACAGTGTCCATAATGTTCAGCACCAAGCCATCTGAGATCCAGACATCCCCCCAGGCCCCTACCCTAAGCCCCACTCAGCCTTACCAGGGGAGGTCCAGAGAGTCAGCAGGCTGAGGCCCAGTAGCACAGCTGCGTGGGGTGCCATGGAGGCTGCACAGAGGCGGACGGAC